TATATGTAATTTCCAGGATTGAATCATGGCAGCCGGGAGAAAAATTTTACTTGGTTTCAGAGAGCAGCCTTTTGTCACTTTTTAAGATGTGCCCACAATGCACGACAGAAACTGACTGTTCAATAAGCACTGTATCTGGAACAGCAATATCCATAAAGCAAGAATGCCAATCTGGCTTTTGTAGATTTGAGAGACTGTGGAACAGCCAGCCAATGTTGTCGCGAACACGAGTGGGAAACATATGCCTGAGTGCAGCAATTCTCTTTGCTGGCCTAGCCCCATCAAAGGCCCTTCGTATGCTGCACCACATGAATGTACAGTGCATCAGCTATGATACTTTCATGAAACATCAAGCCCAGTACCTACTTCCGTCAATCAATGAAGTATTTACGAATCATGAAGATGAACTGTTGCAAAAAGTGAAAGTGACAAATCAAAGTGGAATAGTTGCAAGTGGGGACGGAAGAGCAGACAGTCCAGGTACATGATTTGATGATCAATAAATCAAACTCTTTATGAAGTGATTTTCATACAAAATGCAACACAAAGTCCTTTACAAACATTAAAATCAAATACAAGCAAAACAGTTTACCTCACAAACACACTTTCACACACAAATTCACACACATACTCAGGCTCACATAGTGAAACGTCTAAAATTGAGTTTCAGTTAAATACAGCATTCATGGGTTCATCTCTCTCTGCTCAGCTTTACCACATTGTAGTTGTCCATGGATTATGTGATTTTGTAAAGTGTCATGTAATTTTGGCCTAGGGCACTCGGCAAAGTATGGTACATACACAGTAATGGAGAGGAAAAGCAAAACAATAATTGCTTCCCAGCTTGTACAGGTGACGGTTTATATTTCATAAATATGCATGCATGTAAAAAGTAAATATTTTATCTATGCTTTGTTTTTCAGTCAAATGAAGTCACCTCAAGCGTAGCTATGGAGAAAGAAGGTTTACTCCGAGCATTAGATCAGCTCAACAGAAATGACGTTGTCATCAAGGAGTTGGTTACAGATAGGCATCTATCAATTCGCAAAATGATGAGAGAAACAAAGCCTGATATAAAGCACAGTGTCGACGTTTGGCATCTTGACAAAGGTGTGTTATAGGTCATACTTGAATTTAATTTTTAAGTAGAATTAAGTAATGTTTATTGTGCTGTTGCAGGTTTAGGAAAGAAGCTTCTTGCAGTCAGTAAAGAGAGAGACTGTGGTCTTGTCAGTGAATGGAAACAGTCCATCTCAAAGCACATCTATTGGTGTGCCAATAATGGGGATGGTAATCCTGATGTCAATGAAGCCATTTGGAGAGGTTTGGCCAACCATATAAAAGGTGTCCACGAACATGAGAGTCCACTATTTCCAACCTGTTTGCATGGTGAAATTGAGGAAAGTATTTTCAAAGCCGTGAGTATACCAAAATGAATATGTAAATTCTCAAATGTTGACTATTGTAATGATCATATTGCTTATGTACATTTCAGATAACGTGAAAAAAATGGTAAAATATATGTTAATAGTCAGTTTGTGGTTTCATTATATTATACTTCTATGTAGTGCTATAGATTAAATAAAACTGAGAACAAATGAAGAGTTTAAATGCCACACTGGATATCTTTGTTCTAAGTAATGGCAGAGAGCATTGATATCTGTTTAGTATTATTATATGTCAATTATTATTGACATATTTAGTGGAATCTGAATCTGATTTAATCCGACATTTTGAATTATATTTCAACCTCAATCAAATACAATTCACTTTTTGAAAACAAAACATTACAAAGACTTAACTAGAAGCATCCAAAAATATGTTCAAATGACACTTATCTGCTTTTGAAAATAAGCTCTTCAAGAAATGCATAATCTTTCTTGTTTGCATCACCTGCTGAGCATGAGGTCTGTGGTGCACAGGATCTATTATAGGCACTATCTGGCGTTTACTCAATCTTCCTAAATCACTGACAGTCTGTTCCTTCACCTGTATTGTCTCTAACAAATTTTTAAATGCTTGGCTTTATCTTTTAGTGCATGCACCATCTTCTAGGATTCAGTTTAATTTGCAATGGTGTTGAAATTAATTTGTTTTGTTAAATATAGACTCAAAAGCCTACACTAGACTCATCGAGACAGTCTTCACCAACAATGTTATTAAAGACATAAGACAGCTGTCTCCCAATAGTGTCACATCAGGTGTCGAATCCTTTCACTCACTCCTCAATCACTTTGCCCCAAAGATGCTTCATTTCAGCTACCATGGTATTGAGGCAAGGTAAGCATTTATCTCCGTATTTTTTTTTTTTTTACCTATCATTATTTATTGTAATGAAAGCCCTTTTCTACCTCTTTTTTCATAGATATCGTCTGGCCATTTTGCACCACAATGAAAATGCAAACAGAAGTCAGGCAAAAACTAAGGATGGACAGGATAGATACAATTTGGTTTATCCGAAATTCAAGAAAGGGAGCCACACTCTATGCAAAATATTTGAGGGAGCCACTTACAGTAAGTTTTCAGCATTAACATCTAATACTTTACAACTCATTGTTGTTTGTATTCATGAAAGTTGTTATTTTTACTTATAGACTACATTGATCCGTTGATGGCCTGTGTATGTAAGCGTCTACTGGCTGGCGAGAAGTACTTGGCTGAGAAGTCAAAACCACCGCCTCTGACCAGTCAATGCAATAAAGTCACAAAGGAAGATGCTATAAGACAGCACAAAACAAGATTCAAACTTAATTGAACATTGTGCAATAATAACACACTGATCTGAGTGAACAAAACATCTTTAATTGTAATAAAACAAATGTTTATACAACTGAAACATTTCCTATTTATTTAGTTACTATTCTAACTAATTTAAGGTTGGTAATTTAAAGCCCCTATATGTGCCACCTGCATCAGGATAAGTATCTCTTATTCGGACCAGAACACACGAGGGTAATGGCACCCTTTTCTTTTTCCCCAAAGTCCCGTAGCACCACTGGACAAATCTCCGATATCCTGTGTACCTGAATTTCCTGAAATTGAAAATGAATCCTCTATTAGCCAAAAGTCATTTGTAGAATTTTTTGTAAAATCTCAATTGCTTCCTTACGCTTCATTTGACAGATCGGGTTCTATGTACCCATCAGCTTTCAGGTACATATATGCCATCTCCAGTGACCACGGGTCTAAGCAAATGGACTCAAACCCCTCATGCTCTGTGATGCAGGATACGTCCTGTCCATTTTCTGAATTGTATTCCTCCATCCTTGCAAAAACTGCGTTTTTCTCCTGACAGCAATAACACTCTTCAACCTGAGACATGATTGCACATTTTTCGCACTGACACCTGTAAATTAAATCAATAGATAGTTTATCTATATGACTTATATTCTATGGTAACATGAAATTTATATCAAGCTTGATGTAGCCTAATGTTTCAATAATTTATATCATCATCATTATAAAATATAATAACAAACATTTGAATTCTGGTATAAAGACCTTTACACAGTCCATAAAAATAGTTCAATAGTTTTCAATCTCACCAGTTTTTGTTTCCCACTCTGTGAATTTCCTCATTTTCTGAATCTGTCTCTCCTTCATTATTCCCATCAAGGGGCTGTGGTGTTGCTAGTGGCTCAAATGAGTAAGGATCAAGCTGTTGAAAATGTTCAGAATCAGATCCAAATTCAGGATCACTTCGGTCTTCAGAAACAGGACTGTGGCCACTTCCTACAGAGTCAAAACAAAAATGTCATAGTAATGATTGCAATAAGTTACAATAACGTGCTGTACAATAAAAATAAGTTGAATAAAATAAATATTGTACTTTTATGAACATACTATATGAACAAAAAGCTGCTGAAGTTGTAAAAAGACAAAAGAGCTAACATGATAACTACATGTAATGCAATCATTGATTTTTTTTATTTTATTAAACCGTTAATAGGATTTAGCATTTATGGATATTACAATGTACATTGTGGTAAATAAATCTAAGGCAACCAAAGTGAGACTGGCATAATGTGAAAACGAATATTAGCCTTGTTAGCATGTTTTATGATATCAAGTAGAGTTAGCTAACTTGCCTAACACTAGGGACCATTAGGCCAAGTTATTAGCTTGAATCTCACAAATAAGGCTAAAAGGTTAAAAGAGTTGCACACTATTATGTACAAAACTGATGAAAATATGTTTATACCTTGATCAGATGACAGTGAAACCTCCGAGTCTTCCCCAAATTCAACATCAATTAACTCGCTGTTCCTACAGATTCCAGTCATGACGGCTGTGAGATCCCCTTCTCATACGTCATCGCCGCCATTTTGGCCCCCCCTAGCGTTTCAATGCGGAAGTGAAAAAGTGCAACTTGGAAGCCGTTTTTTTAACAGAATTCATCTGAACATGTCAAAATGAACACCCGAAATATTACAAACACATATAGTAGTTATATATTCTGGATAGCAGCAACTTAAATTCTAGTACTACTTTAAAATAGCGTTATTAAGAGACCTCCTCTCTCCCCCTTTTCTTTTTTTTTTAACCGACAGCTTTGACCGGTTAACGCAGTGACGGTCAACCACCGGTTAAACGGTCACTGATATACATCCCTAAATAGAATTCACAAATTATAAGTAGTGCTGGGAAAAATAAACAAAACTGCACAGCATGATTAAAATATACAAAAAACTAACGGCTTAGCGCTCTCAAAACAGTTTTCTTCTATCACTAGTTTTCTTCACATGTACAGTAGGTATGTTTTGGCCTTTGTTGTATACTCTCAGTATAAAAGATCAAAGGTTTAAGATAAATAAGGTGAATACAGCAGGTTGTGGTCGGATTTGTTGACTATTTTTACAAGACAAAATTATGTTTATGAAACCATGAGTAAGTACACTAGCTTTAGTGCATCTGGCCACAGCAGCTGTCATCATTAACCAATAAAGTGTGCGATGAGGGGTTTTACAACCTTAAATCCAAAAAGCTTGAATCGGACTTACCAGCGTAGTAGGAGGAGATCCTGGAAATATCTGAGGAGAAGAACAGAAAACACCAGGTCATTATGTGGTATTTATTGCTTTTGTGGTGTCCGAGTTACATGTTTGTGTCAGAAATGAGCGTGGATGGATTAAAAAAACAACTCCAGGTCTGTGACTGATAAAGAACAATGCTGGGACATGGAGAAAAGAGAAAGTCAATTTTGCAGAATATGTCTCCTTTAAAACATGACTTCCATCCGTTCCAGTATTGAGTATCGTATCATTGCTAGGATCTTGTATTGCTATTAGGAGATGGGTAAAAGACGTTGCAATATGAAAACAAAGACTGAACTTCCGCTGCATGTAATAACAATAAGTTATGAATGGATTACTCACTGCTACGCCTACATTCGGTCGCGCCAGTTGACTTAGCAAATACAACAGTTGACCTAACTTATCAAAAGATCCAAACTAGCACTGAAAAACACTTGAGATAAAGCAGACATATAATCTTCAAATCAAAACCATTGCACAGTTCAAATTGCAACACTTTGGACTACTGTCGAAATGGCGTCTCGACCCAGGACAACACTGGGAAAGGTTGGCGTGTTGTTTGGACACGTGTCGGCTTTTGCCACGGAAAAGACGGTAATGTGTCAAAATAAGTGTTCCGACATCGCTGCGCAGAAGGAGACCAGAGTAAGACCAGAGAAGAACCAGAGACAGACCAGAGAGAGAGAGAGACCAAACAGAAATCAGAGAGGGAGAGTCCAAAGAAAGACCAGAAACGAACCAGAAAGAGACCAGAGACAGACCAAAGAGAGACCAAAAAGATACCAGCGACAGACCAAAGAGAGGCCAGAATGAGACCAGAGAGACTGGAAAGAGACCGGCGAGAGACCGGAGAGAGACCAGAGAGAGACCAGTGAGAGACTGAAGAGAGACCAGAGAGACCCAAAGAGAGACCGGAGAGAGACCAGAGACAGACCAGAGAGAGATTCAGGCGATAGAGGAAAGTTTTAGCACAACTATGATAGAATACCTCTTTATCGTCTTCCCATCATTATAAAAAACTCCTAAAGTAGATCAAAGGCAATTAATTTTGGTAATACCTGCAGCCGCCAGTCATAACAGAGCTGTGAGAACGGTCTTACGGGTGTAAGACGTGTACGGAGGAACAAATGAAAGCCTCATGAACAGACTGTCCTCGCCTCACCTCTCATGAGAGTGAAAAGAGTCGGTCAGAGCAGTAGTTTCAGAACAATACTTCCTCTGGCTCTCACCTCGCGTCTCTCTTCTCCCACACACTCAGATGTATGGCCTCTGGCGGCTAACACGGCAGCTAACATCACTGCACAACCTCAGTTGAACAACTTCTACTTTTATTTTATTACGCTGAGACTGACATTTAGAATAAGGTTTTGAACCAGATCACTTTGAGGATACCAGCGCAGACTGCAGTAAAGATTATACCCTGAAGAAGGACTCAGGACTATAGGAGAGAAACACCACAGTGTTTTACCAAGAATAAAGCAGTAATTAATGATTACATTGATAATAGATAAGGTAAGCAAATATACTTTCTTTCATAAAACTCAGTGACAATGGGATTTTTTCTACATTTGACCAAAACAAAGTTTGGTGTCATGGTTGTCACTTTTGGTTCCTGTTTTATTTTGTAGTTCTGTTCCCCAGTGTCTTTTGGAGTTTTACTTCCTGTTCTGTTGATTGCCTGCCCCACCCTGATTCTTTTCACCCGTGTCCCTCAGTTAATTCCCTGTTCTCTTTCCCTCTTGTTGTCAGTCCATTGAATGTTTGTTCTGGTTCGGTTCAGTTTCTGTGTTTGTATGATCTTGATTTTTGGATTCTTGGTTATTAAATTATATTTTTTGCAGTGTTGAATTTTGGGTCCCTCCTCCTTTCCACCACATAACACTCGGAGAACATATTCATAGCGAGGACTTGTTACACATTGGATAAGTTAAAGCCACCTTGTGTAATTGTTACAGCTGCTGCTCCATATGAAAAAACATGTTAACTAATAACAAATGTGACCTTTTTAAGAATATTTACCTCCACCATGTTTTTTGAATTGTATTAATAAGCTTAGAATTTAACTTATAAGTGTCCATGAGAGAGGAGTGCTCTCCGTGTAAATGCGGCATCTTGAAAAACGGTGGTGGATAAGGGACAAAAAGGATGCGAAAATCGCGTTTTAGTTTCACATGAGCTATTGATATCGTTGCTTTCACTGTGACTTCTCACCATGGAGGACCACAGTTATGTAAAAGAACCATGGAGGACCACAGTTATATAAAAGAACCATGGAGGACCACAGTTATATAAAAGAACCATGGAGGACCACAGTTATATAAAAGAACCATGGAGGACCACAGTTATATAAAAGAACCATGGAGGACCACAGTTATATAAAAGAACCATGGAGGACCACAGTTATGTAAAAGAACCATGGAGGACCACAGTTATGTAAAAGAACCATGGAGGACCACAGTTATATAAAAGAACCATGGAGGACCACAGTTATATAAAAGAACCATGGAGGACCACAGTTATATAAAAGAACCATCCAAACAACAATCTCTTAGAAAAATAATTATGCAGAAGTCCAGCGTCATAGCAGCAAAGTGTCAACATCGCAAACCACACACACCGAAAGATAGCGTTAACACAACAGGAGGCACATTGTGTAGTTTCTAAACAATAGACTCACACGTGAACAATACGTAACTTTCTCCACACTGACAATAATAAGTACGAGGCAGAATCTGCAACACAGTCTCAGGATGTTCTGACCCGATCCGAGCGCAGTCCAACTACTATGTCACAAGTTTCAACTAAACTTATTCAGGGACAAGCCTCAAATAAAACACACAGAATCCCAACAAAACAATCGCAAGAATACTTCATCAGTAGCGTGAGTGAATGTTCTGTTTCTTACAGTGATGCAGATAGGGCGCTGTGGCTAACGCTAAAGCTAACATGAGATTTCAGCCATGTCCTGCCGCGGCTGTGAATGTCCTGCTTCTTTGATCATTGTAGTTTTAAGCTCCCACAGACGTTATTCCTCCATCGTCTCTTCTCTTCACACCGCGTTTGTAAAACTATGTATTATAATAGATCCATGGTAAAGCTCAGTGCAGCGGGTGCCACGTCTGAGCGTGGTCTTGTTTACATGTCGCCTCCACGCGACTGCCAAGTGCCCGAGACGTTTGGAGAGATCCGGTCATTTATCAAACTCCCTCACACAGAGTCCTAGATACATAATCCAATCCAATCCAATCCACTTTATTTATATAGCACATTTAAACAACAGTTACGTTTCCAAAGTGCTGCACAAAAAAGTATAAAATAAATAACAACTTATCCTTAGCTTCACCAAGTATAAAAGAATAAAAATATATAAAACAGATTAAAACCATAAATAGAAATAAAATAAAAACACAGAGGACCACACAACTCACACAGTGTTAAAAGCCAAAGAGTAAAAGTGGGTCTTAAGACGAGACTTAAAACACTGTACATAAAGCGTTTCTAACATGCACCCGCTCTACACGCTTTATTGAGGGGGTTCACATATGAATAGAGCTGGCCCTTCTGGGGAGGGACAACTGCACTTGAACATTCCCCATCCCAAACTTTGTTGGAACACAAAGACTTTCAGGCAACAAATAATGTGATAAAGTATTACATAAATGCACACAACATGTGAATGCACACACCTGGGAACCATGGATCTATTACACTGGGTAACAAAAACATATTTTTTTAAATAGTCCAGGGTTTTCCAGCTAAATTAGACTAATGTTGATGCTCTGAGTCCGAACATGACCTTGGTTTTGCTCAATCAGGTCAGGATTTTTTGCTACAGAAATATTTTTTTCAATCGATTTTGCGTAAAAAAAAAAACAATTTCTGCGGATCATCAGCTGAGAAACCCTTGACATTTTTTCCATTTTCCTCAAGAAATAAAAGTCAACGTATCCAAAGTCATTCAGTTTTTATTTACTCCATCAAATTTGATAAGCAGAATTCATAATAACGTAGACGTACATAATCTATGGCTGTATCTCAAAAAGTTGACCTGATAGAGCAAAATGCATGTGATATTCAGACTCAGAACACAAAAATTAGTCTAAATCAGTTGAGAAACCCCTGACCATTTTTTGGCTGTCAACTTGTGTTATAATAACTGGATAGGGTATTACTAGCTTGTAGTTGAATAACTCATGTGCTCGGGGGATTCTCGCGGTACTGCAGACTAGACCAGACTAAATTCACGTGGGCTACCCAGAGATTTTCCCCATAGGACTCAATGCATATTAAAACAGCTCAACCTCAGCTGACAGAGAACCTGACAGAGAACCTACAGCTTTCTTAAAGGTCGGATTTTGTGTGGATTTTAGTGTCCCTTGTCATCCTGAACTTTTTTTCTTCTTAAATCCTTCGGTTTTGTTTAAATCCACACTTTAGTGCCACAAACTCTGCTCGTCTGGCTCTCGCTCTAACTCCCGCTCTGATGAACTGCTCTGATTGGTCAGAGCGCGGCCGAGCCCCTCTGTGCACGTGGTGTGAGACCCACACACGCGTGTTTGGCACAAAGCATCATGGGAGATCATCCACTGCGCAGAACCGGGAGGACCAGACGATGCCCAAATACAGGCGAGTTTCCCATAGATCAGGGGTGCTCAATACGTCGATCGCGATCTACCAGTCGATCGCAAAGGTAGTATTGGTAGATCGCATTAAATAAATAAAAAATTACACATTCTAAACAAATATATACAAAAAACTCCGGGCAAAGTGGAGATTTTTGAAAACTCCGTTAATGCATTTGTGTGTAGACAGAGATAACCGGAGTTTTGCGTTCTCGCACGCCACAGTACCCCCCTAAATTCCTCTGATCACTGAAGCATGGATCATACTACCTTAAAAACTGTTCGCTGTGAGATGCTCGCAGCAGTGAACATCCTCGCTCCACATCAGAGAGCAGCAAAGTGATCGCGGGGACTCACGCTCGAAAACAACCAAAC